ACATTTAAAAACGACTTTAATTAACAATTCTGATCTGGAAAGATGTGTCAAAGTACGAATAAACTGATAAAATAAATGTGTTGCCCAGCTTACAGTGGAGTGTGAATACTTAACAGTGATAAGATAAGTGTGCTTTATGAATAGAGGGAGCTGAAACTGTAGTTCAACATTGTTGTTGCTACTGGTATTGATGAGGAGGACATCAGTGCTGCTCTTCCTATCAGGGATGAAGAAGGAGAGAAGACTTCACCTCAGACAACCTCAGCTCACCTCAGCTGAATGTTCGTGTTCTCTGTCGCTCTTAGATCACATCAGACGTAGCTGTTCCCAATGATCCACATCATGGCTGGAAGGAAAAGACACAAACAGTGAGACAAAGATCTACAAGGTTCTTTTATTCCAACTGTTGGAACGTTAAATGACAGTGACCAACACAGCAGGATATGACTGCAGCACAATGGAGAGTGTGATGTTTTTGACATATTTTTTTGAATCTGAAGGAAATATTTGTTTCCCTGGATGAGACCAAAGAACATTTTACTGCCTTAAAAGGACAATAAAATGTATTGTTTTTATTCCAAAGTATGATGATGTGGTTAATAGAGGAAAAAGGAAAACCAACACTCGTGACATGAGCTCCTCAGTTATCTGACAAAACACTGCTGTGGAGAAAACAGTCTGCTGGACTGATTTAAATAACAAAGTAACTATAACTCACCTCTGAGGTTCAGTGTGATGCTCATGTCATGGTGATCAGACCTCAGTAACTTCACTGTTTGTGAAAGAGAAGGAATCATTTCAACAGACGCTTGTCTCAGTGAAATGAACACAAGTTGTTTAAAACCAGAAAACAGAGACATGAACTGAACTGAGCTTCATTCATTGAACTGAGAGATTAACATCAGTCAGTGACACTGTTCTGTGGTGTACCACTAGCGTGGTTTACTTTCTATCTGCTGATCATTACTATCTGCCATGAGACGACAGCAGTTAACAGACTGTAATGACATTATTGATCCATTATGATTGACTAGCTGTGACCTACAGGAAACTTAGTCACAGACAACAGGTTACCTTTATGACTGACAAACCTGATTTAACATCAGTTGTAACTAGTCAGGAAACGTAACCTGAGATTTACAGAACAACTTTTAAACACGATGTTCGATCATGTTTTACCATCAAGAGGTTCCACAGTCTGATGTTAACTTTCTGTAACTTCAGTTACAGTAACGCAGGTCACTGCTTTGATATGTAATATTGTCCAGATGTGGACATGAAAACAACCAGTTACTGAGACGACTCACCCGTAGAGCTTAGCTCCACTTTTGGAGGCTAACTTTGTTAGAATTAGCGTCAGTAAACACATCAGCAGGTAAATGTGGGCGGGCAGAGAGTCCTCTGCTCTCAGTCAGTCTGACCAATCACTGCTCCCGTCTCTGGCTCCAAAAATCCAAGATGTCAACCAGGAAGTAATAAAATCCTGGGCATAAACTGCAACAAAACGCTTCCACTCCATGCAAAATATCTGTGTTACATGATAGGCTAAGCTCTTGTTACATTATATACCATTTTTAGGTAAAATCAAGGCAAGATCATCCTCAAGTAGGCGCACAGTAAAACACAGAATCAGGTAAACATGCATACATTGGGCAACTATGTCCCTCTACTGAGGGTTCTCTACTTTTGTCAGTGCAGAAACCAACAGGTGATGATTTCTTATACAGTCTATGCAAAAAACATCTAGTTGGACACGAGCCGCTCAGTGCCAACAGTTGGCTACTCGGGAAACCAATGAAGCACTTTAGCATCTCAAGACCATGCTAAAGCCGCAGATATTTCTCCCTGGAGACGGTGAAAAACAAATAAAGACATGAATTGCTTGTAACCATGACCCTCTGTATCTAATAGAGACAGACTAATTACAATGCTTTGGAATTATTTGCTTTTCAAAATGAGATATTAAATGAGATGTGTACCATATGGCAATATGTTAAACTCTTCCTTTACATTGCTGTTAAGGGGTCTAATGATTTCTGCTGATACTCTGTTTTATGTGTACATATCTCCATAAAATCTGGAGTTAATCAAATCACCACAAAGTAACTGCAGCACAATGGACCATGATGATCTGGCATCCTGGAAGTGTTTGTCCAATTTGCAAAGGTGGCGATGCCACCCTGCAGATGTGAAGAATACTTAGTACACAGAAGCAAAAAAATTCAATGAACATTCAAAGTGCCTGTGGATAGTAAGTTTACAATAATGCTATTCTAAAGATTAGATATTTATTCTGTTTAACAGTAGGTCTCAAGCTATTTTAGCTAACAGTCTAATCACATGCCAGCAATACTATGTCAGTTTGGAAAAGTGAGACTCTGATATAAAATTTCATAACAGGGTGCAAAGAAAACAGCAGTTTGCAAATGCAGTAATAAATACAGTTTTCAGAAGTCTGGACCTTTGTGGGAGTCGTTTTCTGTGGCTGCAGTGCATATATTCAAAGCTGCATTATAAAACTCACACTTGTAAACTTGAAACTTGCTGAAGATATTATTACTGTTGAAGCTACATTATTTTTGCTCAGTCACCACAGCAAAGTCATTTTACTTTGAACAAAATTAAATAAACAAGATTTTTCAGTGAGCTGTTGCAGTTTGCAAAGGCACGGAGGCAGACAGTTTTTCATTGCTTTTACTTAGGCAGCATTCAGCGCTGACTGCATGCACAGATAAAATTAATGTAATGAATGTAATTCTCAGCCCAGCCTTAATGCATCTCCAGTTTAAATTATCCAGGCATCACCCAATCTATTCTCAAATACAGTATATACTGTATATTCTCTGCACTGACAGTATTTACTCACCGAGGTGTGCCCCTGTCAGCGTGTAAGCACACTGATCCTAATGTGGGCTCATAAACATCCGCGGCACAGAAACCCAGGTCCAGGCTTGGACCTGGGAAAATATGTTTGCAGGTGAAATATGTGCCACTCAGTCACCCATGCAGCAAGCCACTCAAATGGGCGTAAATCAGAGACCTTGGATCAATGCCCTGTTTCCCATAGGCAAACTGCTGTGGCACAACACAATCAATTCCACCCCAGGATTCATTGTTCCAATTACTAAGCCTTGTTCTCTGCTGCAACAGTAAGGAGGGTCGAGTAGAATCAGCCCCCATCAAACATTAATACCAGCTCTGAATCCGAATCAGTTCATTGGCATTCTGCAGAGAGGCAATTCAAGCAGTGGTAGGAGCATCTGTTGCTGTCATCAGCTGATGTAGCAACCACAATGGCCGTGTAATAGCAATGAACACAATGTGCCTTCAGATACTGTAAATGGAATAAAAATTAAAAAAAATAAAACATGCTGATGTGGAAAAGCTAGCAAGGTAGGAGGAGTTTTAATAGCTGCAGGCAGAAATCATAATTCAAGGGATAGATCCAGTCAGAGCTGCAACGTACGTGCATACAGAGCTGGGGCATACAGTCAGGCAGCTCCTATTTCCCCTATGGATGAGTGTGGTAAATATATTAGAGCCCCATATACAGCGTACGGCTGTTGCTGGAGTCAGGTCACAGTCAATTGAATTACAGTACACATTGTGTAAGCTGTGATTTCACAGGAGGGTGGGGCAGGTTGTGGATTAAAGGAAGACAGTGGGTACAGAACTTGACAGGTGTACTGTGTTTTGACTCTCAAAATGCAGGTTCCATTTGGGAATACAGAACAATCCCCAGGAGGTAATAAAGACAAAATGACTGAATCCATAAACTGTGCTCCTCCCTATTCAATACAACATATCATCCATCCATACATTATCTATACACTGCTTAATCCTCACTAGGGTCGCGGGGGGGCTGGAGCCTATCCCAGCTGATACAACATATCAGATGAGTGTAATTTAAATATTCCTTTACGACAATATTTTAAAGCAGCTTCTACTCATGAGGGAGTAAACATTCCCAATAAGAAATCTTGTGTGTGGCTATTCTGTGCAGGCATCCGCACTCACCTCTCACATGTAGTATTGCTCGGATCCACTCTCCACTTATGCACATTACATAAACACAAGCAGACTGGCATTTTGATGCTGCAGCATTTAGTGATTAGATCTGCTTAGGGGGGTGAACGAGGGCTCACAAATGTCTATATTTCTCCATGAAATGTGCTTAAGAGTCACCGGACGACAATTTAAACAAGCTTCAGTGAAAATAAGGGTGCAAGTGCCTTTTCACGAGATTGCGTTCATTAATCTGTTGAATTATTTATGTATTATCTGCTCGCAAGGGGTGGGTGGGAGGTTACTGCTGACAGACTGAGAAGCAGGAGAGAAAATTACTGTGTTGCACACTGTTGCTCACAGTTAATGTTCTGTTACCATTTATAGGTATGCATAAAATTGTATTAGTTATATCCACAGTGCTTTTGACCCGGCCATAAAATAATGGCACACACTTCTCTCCCCGAGACGAACACAGGATGCTGCTCCTCTTGCCGATATCACAAACTCCCTGTCAGCTGAAAATATGCTCCAGTCAGCAGAGCTGCAGCCCCTAAAGCAGCAGAATGGCTTATTGCTGTCTGTGTCACTGTATTACTCTTGCTGTGGTCCCACCAGGTGCTCAGCACCTAATAAATATGTATTGAACAGCTTACTCGCTCACTGTTATCCATGCACTACCACTCTTGGCTCTCTTTTAGGCCCACAAGCTGGTGTGGATGAATGGGTTTGGACTGCTGGGCCTTGGTTCCACTGTTTTAATATTGTGTCACTTTAAAATCGAAGTAACAGAAGGAGAGTAATATGTAGCCCGAGGCGACGAACCACCTCCTCTTTTCAAAATAGTCCTAAATTACACATCAGCTACAGCATCTGAATGAGCTTCACTAAAACGCTTTAACAAACCTGATAGACATTTGAGCTTGTACTGTGACTCCCTCTGCTGGCTGAGATGTACAGTCGCTACCTTTATAAACAGTTGACCCATAATAAGATTTCAGTTTGAGGAAATTGTATTGATCTCACATGAAACATTCAGTGAAATACATTTATACACAAGAGGACATTACGTCTAAAATGCCTGATCTTTATTTAATGAGTTTCCAACAAAGTTCAAAGCATATTTATATTATTCTGTTGCAACTAATATGTTAATGACAAAATGCAGATAAATCCTTAAAAAACCTTGCTCATCAACTGATCAGTTTACTGTCAACATTTTCACAAATAGGAAAAAGTAAAACAGCCAAACAAAAGCGTAGCAATCTAAGTTTAAATTCGTTCCCTGACTTAAAAATAGAACTTCATATGTCAAAAGACAACATTCAAAATATGTACTGTGTATTTGACAACTGCACTTAAAGTGTACTTTGGATACAAACAAAAATCTTAAATAAAGGCAAAGCGAGATTTCCCTAGCAAAGCTGATCCGAAGTATTTAAACATTAGCCACACCTAAAGAGAAGCACTATGCAGACGGAAATCTTCACCTTGTATAAATTACCTTATATTTCAAAAATCTTGTGAGCTCCTCCCACAGTATCACACCACTAACATGTTAGCAGGGGGAGGCTTTAGTGGAATCTGGCCGAGAGTGAATCTCTTAGCCTTGAACTGATTCAGTTCTTCTTGAGTCAGTTTGCTCTCAGGTGAAAACAGGCTATCTGATGCCTCTGCAGCAGAGCCGGCTCCTGCCGCCGATGCAGCAGCAGTTGCCCCAAATCCTCCACTCGTCTGTCCAAAAGTACTGCTGCTTCCTGCTGCGACGCTCCCAAATCCTCCTCCAGCGTTTGCTGTAGAGGAGAAGCTGAACCCAGAGGCTGATCCAAATCCTGAAGTGGCTGCTGGTTTGTCGGTGGTCGCAGCTCCAAAGGAGAAAGTTGAAGCAGAGGGCACAGAGGAGGATGCAGACGAGCCGCCAAACCCAGAGGGAGGGTCTGGAGAAGGTCCTAAGTTACTGCCAAAACCTGATGAGGATGATGATGGTGCTGCTGAGGACCCAAATCCAAAGGTGTAACTGCTGGCCTGGGCTGGGGCTCCAAAGCCTGTGTGGTCAGAAACATTTAGAATTAACACAGAGAAATGGATCACATGAAAGCGATTCCCTGATCAGCATCTTTTCACAGGATAATAAAAGCATTCTGTTCTGTCAATCTAACGTAAATTTAGATGATTGTAAAATTACATTTTGGCTAAATTTAAAAAATAAATGAATGATGTGGAATCATCTGCTCAACCCCTGTATTCCTGAGACATGAGGGCTACTTTCAAGTATCTGTCTTTTAAAAACTTTTAAAAATGACAAATTAGACTATTTTCTAATATGGCGATCTATCACTTTACCCCTTACTGTTACCATGAAGCAATACTACCTCAATCCTCACCTTTGCTTCCGAAACTGGATGAAGAAGATCCAAACCCAGTCCCTGTTGTGGAACCAAAGCCACTTGAAGATGTCTGAGGTGCTGCACCATTTAATTCTGCAAGCTGAAAAGAAAAGAAATCCAGCGTACATCAAAACTTGCTCACTGAATCACACACTTAAAAATGTGAAAACTTAAAAATGTGTTTGTGTCTCACCAATGCTGCACGAGTGGCTGGACTCATAATCTTCAGTTCCTGGACTCGGTTTTTCCACTGGCTGAGCAACTGATTGACACCATTGAGCTAAACATAGAAAACAGGAGTAGGCTGTTGCATATTATTAAATGCCTAATTTTTTTTGTTAAACATTTTGACAAGCAGGGTACTAACTAAATCAAGATTATTTGACAAAAGCATTAAGATAACGAAAATGAAGACAAAAAAGTCAAAAACAGGACTTTTCAGAAATGCACAGAACAAAGAACCCTCTTGACTTTATTACTGATATCAGTGGTACTACTCATACATAGCTCTGCAGCTCTCCTGAAGCTCTTGTGGAGTAGTATTCTAGCCTGAGCTCCTCTGGTGAAAGATCAGTGAAACCTGTAGATAAGAAATACAAAACATGCTCAGGTCTAGTGTCTTGGTTTTTACAACTAGTGCTGTGACTAGAAATAAAAATAGTATATCAAGTAAGTAAATGTGGATCCAATACAGACCAGACAGAGATGTCTTGAAGCTAGAATAACAGGAGAAGCCCCACTGCCCTGAACTCTCCCAACTGTCCATGTCCATCTGAATGATCTCCCTGAGTGACAATGAATCATACACATGACCTATGCTTGCTTATGACATCTAAGAATGTATTTTATAGCTAAACTATGTCAAAAAATAACCCAAACAAGCATACTCACAGTTTTTTGTCATCATCTTCATCGCCAGCTGCTGCTGCTCCTCCACCTGCTCCTCCTCCTCCCCTTCCTCCTCTGTCAAAGGTGTTGGAGGTGCCAAGTGCTGAATATTTGTTTTGATTAGAAAAACTGAATTCGGAGCTCTTGACATTATCTCGTCTCCCTCCACCGCCTCCTCTACCCCAATCACTTCCTCCTCCTCCTCCTCCTCTGCCCCAGTCACTTCCTCCTCCTCCTCCTCCTCCTCCTCTGCCCCAGTCACTTCCTCCTCCTCCTCCACCTCCTCTGCCCCAGTCACTCCCTCCACCTCCTCCTCGGCCCCAGTCGGCTCCTCCACCTCCTCCACGACCCCAGTCATCACTTCCATGAGAGGAGAAGGATGAAGGTTGGATATAGGCTCCTTTTTGCTGGGAAGGATTCACCCAAACTCTGTTTCCAAACCCTGGAACCAACATGCAAACCAACACCAGTCAAATTTGGGGGAAAAAAAGGGTGATATTAAACTAACAGTCACACTTCATCTCCTGATGTACCTGTATTGTCACTATATACAACACATATCACATGGCATCACTGTCCATCATAAAAAACAGATACATTGTCAGTTTCTCCCTTTCATCAGGAAGATAAAAGCATTTTGTGTGTGAGTGTCAAGCGTTTCCATATCAGAAGAGACAGGTTGAGAATAGAGAACTCTGTATGTTATCAAAATTCCATTTAAAATGCTTTTTTGATGGGGCATATATAAATAAAAGTGACGTCACCTCAGTGTACCACTTGCAGAAATTCTATATTTTAGTAGCATAACATTATTTTCTTTTGGCTACCCTGTAATACATGTTTTGTTTTTGGTTTTCTTTTTTTCATTATCATTGAAATTTGGCTAGAATGAGCACAAATAAAATGAATTTTGAATGAATGAATGCTAGTGGGGGGAACAGAACACAAGTGCAATATAAATTTGTTTTTTTTTTTCTTAAAAAGGTTAACTTTGAGAAAGTACTTTGAGGATGATAATGCCATATTCAACAGTGGAAACCTGCTTTTAAGAAAGGAACTCAAATCTTATTTAATATACCCCCAGTGAAGTTAAATTTGTGGATCCAAAACACTGCTCAGTAAAACAAGTTTTGTCAGTCATCTACAAAATTTGCTCTGATTATTATTACTTATTCATTGGAGATATTGAGCTATGGGACTATTTGGGTAGACTGTTTTTCCTCACCAGCACTATTTAAAGGGTCAGGCACCCAAATTACAGTTAAATAATATTACAATGAGTGTTAATAATGTCTAGCACACACAGTCTTGGCAAATCTGGTCTAGCTCAGTGGTTCTCAAACATTTTTGTCGCATGGCACATTGTTACCTATGATTACACTTGTAATTCAGCATAACTCAGAATCATCCAAAGACAAACAGACAATCACTAGTTAGCCTACACTCACTGTCATATGGATATGGATCATGGACTAGACAGAAAGAAACTGGGAAAACCTGACTTTGCACAGTGTCTCACATCAAATTACTCTTTAAAAACTTGAGAATTGTGCAGCTCAGGGATTAAAATCCACTGACGTTTTCAAGATCCTAGCAACGTTTGTGCAGATATCTTACATTTTTCTCTTATTTCTGACCATTTGATAAAGTCACATGTCTATTATGCCTGATAAAATGAGACCCCAGCTAACAAAGCTGGCTGAAGTGCTGTTTGTATTCCAAGTCTTCGCTGGTGGTTTTCCTTTGGAGCTGGCTAAAACCTGTTTGGGTAGCGCAAACATTCCTCTAAGCTAGGTTATGTTAGCTCAGCAACCGCTAAGGCTAAACTTCCCTTAAAAATCCAGCGTTCTAACAGTAAATGAGTGAGAGAGGAAGCTAACTGCTGCCTGGTAGGAAAGTTTTCAGCTAAAGTCCTTCACCTCCTCCTCCTCTGGACTGCTGTTGACCGGAGGAGCGGTTGTCGTATCCTCCTCCTCCTCCTCCTCCTCTGTTCCCTCCTCTTGGGTGTTCATTCCAACATTTTTCTCCGTAACGACATCGTCCCTGAAGGAAGAAGTTGCAAACCGGCATTTTGTCACCCGGTCAGCGTCGGAACCACCGTAACGGTTCTTCTCTGGCCTCGCGCTCACAATTGTTTTCGCAGTGAGCTGGAGCTGATGTCGCACGACGATGACGTAATCGCGTCAGTATCCAGACCTCAGCGACCCCACGTGGGCAGTTTGACGCACAAGACACCGAAGACGTTCGTTCAGCGTTTGCTACAGTCACTACAACGAATTCAGACATCAGATTACACGCTGTTAAATGTGTTAAATGTCCTACTTCATTCCACAGAGGATGTATAATGTGCCAATATATCTGCTCCATAGCTGGCCACTGGTGCCTGCACAGTTTTCACAGATGTTCCCTGATTGAATCAATAAATCTCTCAGTGTGACACACAAAATCCATAAGTCATAATTGCATTTTGCTGCTGAAGTACTTTATATAATTCTAACTGAATCCTATGTCACAGGATTAGACTTTCACAATAAAATAACATAGCTGTGTTGGACCTCATGGTTCAGCTGTGTAACTTGTGATTTAACTCCGAGGTGTTTGTGGACCTCTCTTTTAAATTCTTAATAACATTTTCAAGAACCGAAAAAAAAAATCCATAAATTACTTCTCTCCTTTGAGTTGTTTATATAAACTCAATGATGAGTTAAGCTTTAAATTCTCATACAATCTTGCTAATTTAACTATGGTTGTGTGTCCACAAATAAAAAAAAACTAGTTATGGTCGGAGGAGGGTGCATGTAATGTTTGCACGCTGTCACACAAATACGACATAAGAACATTGCCACAATCATTAATACACAAAGTGTTGCTGTACTCCTGGAAAAGAAGCCAGTGACCCCCAGTGAAGCTGAAGACGAGACTATGAGTGATCATAGCCAATGCAGAGGTGTGATTGGTGACTATATTTCCATAGAGTAACTTGTTACAGTATTTCATTTAGAACTCACTTGGGCAACCTGAGGTTTGTTTTTTTTAGAGCGATCACATTGGACACTGAGGATTTTATTAAACTACTAGTAGCTGTAGATATCTACTGCCCAACAATGTGGTTGATGCCATTTCTAATTATAAAAATAAGCTTCATCTACAATTTACCATTTGTTAATTGTCTAATATTGAGCTGGGTATTGTCAACAGAATTTACTATTTATTTAAACATATACAGAAGACCTTTATCACATAGTTACACTGCACATTTTGTATTACAACTTCAGGCAGCTCTCTATTTTCTCACCTTACACAGTGTGTGATTCCATCCCTGAATGTCTCCAAACATTTCTAGCAGCGTCAAAAATCAATCACATTTTTTTCCAAATATCAACTAATCTTTAAATACACAGCAAATTTGAGACATTTGGGGCCATTGAGATAGTTGCCCACTTTACTTTCTAGTTAGGTGGACCCAAAAAAAAGTGCTATCTGTATTAGTAATGACAGACAAAGGTGTGGTTTGTCCCACCCTAACAGGTGCAACTGACGGTTTGGAGGTATGAATTATTAAAGGTCTGTGAACACTGAGAAAAGGTCTAATCAGGTGTAAGAGGGTGTACAGTGAACATGTATGAACATAAAGTGTGACGTGCAAACATACCTATGTACACAGGAGTCTGGAATGCATGTTAAACATTTAGAAAGCAGCTCATAGTAGGCCCTATACGAGGCACTTGTCATGAACTTTAACATGACTTTCAGCAAAATCAAAGCACTGACTGCACTGGAGTATTGTAAATCAGTGACTAGCGGTGTCCTCCTTCCCTGGTGTCCTGGTTTGCACACCTGGATGAATTATTCTGACAGCCACCCACTGTATCCCACGTAGCACATGCATGATCACAGTTAGGATGACAATGTGAGACAAAAATGAAAGAGACTTTCAATAAAAAATACAAGTTTATTGTTTATAGTTTTTCAACACAGTAAAATATCTTCAAGAAAGATGAATACAGCTTTTGCATCACGTTTCTTCATCTTTAGGGGACGCTGTTGATATAATATAAAAAGCCTTCTTTGTGTTTGCTGTAAGATAAAAAGCTTTGAAAAAAGGAATGACAGTAAACTACATGCATAGATTTTTTTCAAAATGGATAAAGTAAAGTGTCTTTTTCAACCAAAATAAATTAAAAAGTGGCATTAAAGCCATGGCAAAGGCAACTTCATAAATCCATATAGCTCATACAAACATACATAATCTACATATCAAAGGTCCATAGTGCTTTTTAACCTAAGGCAGCTTTTTTTTATTCAAAGGTAGAATCACAGGGAATGTTAAATATATATCTTTCTTTTGATTAGGAGGTGGAGCAGCATTAAAACACAGGGCCATTGTAAATAAATTCTGGCAAGAATAGGCATCTAACATAGTTTTCAACAAGTAAAAATGAATAAAGGTGGTTGGTTCCATGCACATTTAACATGCATTTGATTTTACATTTCTTTGCTATCTGTAAAACTTGAATTCAATAACATGTAAACATCTTTTGAGCATAAGAAATCAAAATTGCTTTTAGCTGTAGCTTCAGCAGAATGTTTTCACAGATGGTACTCACTGATAAATGAGACTAGTTATTATTTTTGAGCTAAAAAAAAATCAATAAACGGGAATAAGCACATTTCCACCATGTAGTAACAATTTGATTGATAGGTTCATGTAAGGTGGTGGAATAAGTGCTTGCAAATGACAAGAACAGAGCGAGTTAACAAAACAATGGACCATCATCAAATATATAATTTTTTTTATACAAAAATATTGAGTGTTTGGTTTAAATAAGAAAAATATATGTAGGAAAAATAATATAACACTACTCTCTACTGTAACAAATACTGAACAGTAATATAGAGATGTATAATATAAAGATGGTCTGCAACAAACGATAGTCAGCTTATACTCAATGAGCTTTAACAATAAAGAAAGAAATAGTGAGAATACATTCCATAAAAAAGGAAATGGAAGTGTACATGCAGACAGCGTTACAGCCCCTTGCACAGTAAGGACAATCCATGTATGCTGAGCCTGAGGACCAACGGGAGGACTCCTGCTTCACTGTCTGTCTCCATCCACAGCCGGTCGGTGTCCTTCTTCAGCGTCACACTGGTGGAGCTGAGCAGCTGCTTCGCCAGTTGGAAGGCCTGGTTGTCCTGCAGCGGGACGGGAAGAGACTGGACGGAGACTGGCTCGCTGTTCCCCTTCAACCTGCACAACTGGGGAAACACAGATGATGAGATTAATACAGATGCAAAGGTTTAAATCTTCCTTAGTCAGTCAGTTTTGAAATATGCTTAATGGATGATTTCATTTTTGTTTGTGAAATATGAAGCTATAGTCAGCAGCTGATTGCCAGTCTGGTTGAAGCTGCAGACTCCTGGGAGTCAAATGAATATTTCATTAAATGAATATGTTAAGGAATGAGCTTAAGGGGGTCTGGTAGCTCGAGTTTGGACAGAGCCAGGTTAGTTTGCATAGCTCTGGCTTGTTTGTATTTCTTAAACCAATCACAGTCGTTGTGAGCAGAGCTAAGCAGAGGATGCAGCTTCAATGTTCCCTCAAAACAGAGACAGTTGGAATTGTGGGGCGTTTTGCAAGCAGGGAGACGAGCACTTTGATTAAAATGGATAATCCACCACAAATAACTAGCCGGGCTGCCTTACTCCATAATCCAAATCCTCTGGGAAACTCTATGTTTTCAGTGTGGCAGATAGCTGCTCGGAGGTTGTTTCCTAACACACATATATAGCAGAAGGAAGGCTAAAGGCAACTGAATGGTGGCCTATACCCACATCCTACATCTGGTGAATCAGACTGGAACCAGCTAGCGGATTCCACCTTTATGCTAAGCTAACTGCCTCTTGACTGTAATACACAGACATAAGTGTGGCATCATTTTTCTCATGCAACTGTAAACAACATGTTTTGAAAAGTTGGGCGATCAAAGATTATCTGATCTTTATAACGGAAAATTTAACATTTCATTCAAGGCAATCAGTTGTTAACAATGTTCAATTTGTGTATAAACTATATGAGATTTCCACTATAGAAACTTAAGGTAAGCGTGAGATGGTGCAAATATTGACAGGAACATCCCAGAAATCGGCCCTTTCAGCCTTTTGGTTTTTACTGTAGGATCGAACAGTTACAACCGCGATGTTAACTCTGAGTGGACCAACACAGCAAAAATTTGTAGTTACTGGATTTAGCTTTTGTTCTACGAGCGTGCAGAAACTGTAACAATGGAGGTTTGTTCTGTTGGCATATATGCTGAATTTAATGTTGTTGATGGACCTAGTGGTTGATGGACAAAGCTGCTACTAGACAAGGACATCAAGAGGACAAATGGTACTCGTTGTACACTCAGTGTCATTATCGGGGCTGTTCAGAGGCATCTACCTGGCAGTAGGTACTATTTTCTAACCCCAAAACAGCCCTGAAAGAGGTTCTGCAGCCAGGAGACACTCACATGTCCTAAAATGGTCCTCCAATTCCTGCGGTGGAAAATGGTCTAATAATCAGTGTAAAGATGGATAGTGAATAAAATAAATCAACTAACCAGTGTGTCGAAGGCCTCCAGGAAATCAGGATGGCTTTCACTCAGAAGTCTCAGAGTTTCATCCGGCAGCTCTGTGAAAACAATAAACAGATGGCAGAAGAAAATTTAAATTTAATAAACAATTCCCAGAGTACCACCTTGTACTACTCAGAGCACTGTGTGGAAAATGTCTGTAGGAGTTTCCTCTCACCTTCCATGGCGCTGACCAACAGGCAAGCTGCTTTTAGGGGAGCAGAGTTGCCACACTGGCCGTTTTCAGTGTCACTGTCTGACCCAGGTTGTTCCAGGAGGGCCGACACTGATGCTCTCGGACTCTCCGGGAGTCCCTCTTCCTTGTCCACATCGAGCGTTTCTCTGCTGCACAGCTCTTCCAGCTAACAGAGTGAGAGAGAAAAGGGGAAATGAAAAAAAAAAGCAAAAACAATACAAGAGCATTTCATTCAGATTTTTGCCTCGGTATGAGGAAGAAATACACAGTGGTTTGGGGAAACAGACATAGATTTGTTGTGTTGTTGTCACCCACCACACCCTGCAGATACGACAGATCAGCTCTGTCCCTCAGAGTCTTTCGGAGCTTCTCGATGAAGGCGCGTCGAGTTGACTGCGGGAGCTCTGCCAGAGGAAGAAGGTCCATTTCCTGTGATCCTGCAAGAAAACCAGTAAATAGCGCTGCTTTTTAAATGACACATTAATATATCCAACAGACTGTTTGTATCAGACAACTCCATGCTTGTGTGTATTAGAGTTATTTTAGTCCCAGTGTGTGCTACTGAGTCCAACCACAAAATGTATAAAGTATGAATACAACAATCTTGTATTTGGAAGGAAAGGGAACCTTCTTCAGTTCCATCATTTCATTCGTGTTTCACTTCCTCATGATGCCTCCATAAACTTTTTTTTAATGTGTAACGTTACAACTGTATGAATGAACGGACACAAACCATTTTGAAGATTGATCGGAGGTGCTTTCATCGGAGCCTTGTGTCCATTGCGTTCGCCGTCCACCACGTGCAAGGAGTCCTCACACAAGAAGGGCGTGTCTGCTTCAAAGCCTCCGATTGTGCCAGGTTGTAGGCATATATCTGAAAACACACACAGCAGCATAGATAACTACACAGAGAAGGAAAAAAAAAGATGAACTAATTCTTTACTAGTGTGCTGAGTAAGGATATCTGCATAACTGTCAGCTCTGCTTCTCTATTCCAAGAAGTGGCAAAACACAAGGTGGAGCGCCTAAGCCTTTTTTTTCACAGTGTCTGAACCAAACGAGAGTGAAGATAATATTTCTGTGGTTACGCTTCACACAGAGACCAGCAAAGAGGCTGCTGTGCAAAAAAAGAATCCAGGTGAAGTGAAAGATGATGTTTTAGTCAGTTTACAACGAGTTAGAATTCAGTAGAAGTACTGCATCAAACCACCAGTTTAGTGAGAATAAACGTGTAAAAAAAAGAAGTGATATTTTCAACTGCTTTGCCCGTATTAATATCAAATTGTTCAAAAAAGTTAGAATTAAAGCCGTGTGTACAGTTTAACTGGTAACTTGGTTTGTGACACCTTAAAATTTGGCAAATTCTTAGCTACCTAACTTCTTAACTAGGTGATGGCATAATATTACAATATCATTTTAAAAAGCTATTCTGTTGTCATGAAAAATAACTAGTGAGAGAACTTTACTGATAAGGAGTATAGATAAACAATCCTCACAGCTGCCCTGTGGCTACATCCTGATTACAGGATAGTGGGAAAATTGCACTTCTAATTTAGAATAGAATAGAATAGAATAGAATGCCTTTATTGTCACTATACACATGTACATTTAATTTATTCCTGATAAGCCTTGTTCCACGATTGCATGCGGTGCAATCAGTTACAAACATGTTAAGGATTACATCAGGACATATTGTTGCCACTGACATAATCACTCATCTCCCCCTGAGCTACAGCAGAAACCTTGGGAAACCCACAATGTTTAGGATGATAAGTCATAACATGGCAGTGTTTCAAGGATTTGGTTGTACACATGGTCGACGAGGACAAGCCTGAATGGAGCTGAGATTTTGTCTCACTTTCAGCTCTTGATATTTGGTTTGCCTCATATAAACACATGCACACACCCACACATGCACACACTCACCGTACTCTCCATTTTTCTTAATCTCCAGTTCCAGGATGCTGTATGCAATAACTGTACCAGAGGGGATCTCCAAGGAAACATCAGAGTCCAGCTCAATGTTGTTGCTGTCCTTCACACACACCTGACAATACAAGTACACACACACACACATGGTTTGATTACAAGGGAGTCAGCTGATTTGAATTTCCTGGCTGGAAGCAATTTTACAGCAATAAACAAATACAAACAATCAGTGTTTTCACTTGAGAATGAGCCATAGAGCATTATAATGATAATGATAACAAACATATCTAATTAGAATGTCATAAACTCAAACTACAAACAGCAACAAACTAAACTTCAGGTCCTGTTTGGATTTTGTCAAAACACAGATTCTATTCAATATTGGTGAGCCTCATTAATCTGGTCTGTTCTGTGTAAAGTCTATGGATATTTCCGCTTGTAGCAAATTTGAAATTGTAGAACAAAGTGCACAAGAATGGTGTTTTGTGATTCCGGCAGCAAACTGTGTCTTTTGTGCCCATCATGATGTTTTTGGATCAGTATTGGTGCTTAGATTTGTAAACAGTCATGCCCACATTGCCTTAGACATCTTAAATTACACGTAGTACAAATCTGAAAGTATGCATTTCACACTTCTGCGATGCTGAAAGTATGACGACAATGTTACTAGGTCTGAATTAGTGAAAATGCCGTTGTGGTTTTTACCAAAAAAAAAGTGAGCAGGGTGCTAATTCAGACAGGAAGCCAAAGAAAAACAGAAATCATTTTTGAAGTGAAAAACTGGGTTAGAACTAATCTGTGACTATAAAGTGAATCTACCAAATGTACATCAATCTAAAGTGTAATAATGAACTTTAAACAGTTTTTTTTTAATATATGTCTTTAAAAAAAAAACAAACACAGACCTACCTTAACAGATTTCCCCAGCAGCCCCACCAGCCCGAGCACCCCCTGAAGCATGCACTGTTCCTTTTTGGTCTGGGTGACGGAGCAGGACTTGGTGGTGAGGATCCTTTCCTTCACCACTGCCAAAACATCAGCACGCTTCTGTAGCTGCTGCACCAGCACGTGGTCCATGTTCACTAACCTGATGTAAAGAGAAAGCTGAATGAATCAGCACAGACACTGAAGCACAAGACACTGATCCTGTAGAGTGTAAAATGACACCACTGATGTGGATGTCTTTGCACAGTCTGAGGTGTATTACATCATGTCTGACTACATTTCCTGAGTGTTTATCTTCTCAGCAATTAAGTCATCGACCTGTCACCATCTGCTGACCGGTTTCAATATGGAAACATTATCGAAAGGAATTATTCAATACCTGTTGTCAGAGTCATGTAGCAGCTTCTTCACATCCAGTTCTTCTTTCTTCAGTTTGCCAAAAGACGACTGGAGCTTGGAAATGCCCTGCCCCTTCAACTTGACATGGAGAGGGCCAGCTTCAGTGTCCAGCTCCGTAGACAGTGCATCTCCAAAACTCCCGTCATAGCTCAGGAAATCTTTCTCAGTCACTCCTGACAAAACATGCAGCGTTACTCAATACGTGGATGCGCGTTAGTAATGCTTCACGCACTGAAAAAGTGTAAAATTTAGCTAGCATGGAAATTAAAAATCATGTTCCTTTTTTTACAGCCTGTTTTTTTTTTCACACCGAAAGTCTTTAAGTGCACACCTACGTACCAGGTATGAGCACCTCGTCACCCTGCAACAAGTCGCTGAGGGTGAAGTCTGTCGGTTGGTACTTCGGTGTCTGCCAGAACCAGATGCGGTTGCGCTTGACGACGAGTGCCATTGGAGTCAGCTTGTGTGAGTCATTCACTCGAGACACGTGGATGAGGCTTCCTTCGGGGTCAATCTGATGGATGAAGTTGGCAGTGGCTTTGGAAAACATGGCGAAGCCTGCAGACAGCTGGAAGAGAAAGAAGTTTAAGGCTTCAATTTGGTCTGCTGAGAGCAAAGCAGAGAGCTCTGCTGTGCTGTTATTTAGCCACTAAGCCACAAAGGGTGATTTCCAGTTGGTTTCTCCCCCAGTTTTCCCCTTTCAATAAAGTTTATCTCAGCTTGAGAGGCACCAATAGACCCAGGGAAACCCTCGGTGGGTGTATGTGCATAATGTAACTTCAATGCTTTCTGTCTCCTGCAAACAGTATTTAGGGCACGAAGGAAGTCCCCTGCATGTTAACATAGGAGGGTGACTACACACACACACACACACACACACACACACACACCTCAGCTCACAAATTCTGCAGGATTATCTTTCAAAGTTTAAATATTTAAAGCGATCAGGCGTAAAGGGGATTTGTATGGTGATGGCTGGGAGGGAGAGAACGAACAGCAGAAAGTTGTATCACTGGCGGTATGAGGAATGCTGGAATTAAACAGAAGAGCATTGGCTGGAGGACAACGAAAGAGGCCACTTAGGAGAAGGGGAAAAATAAAACCAGAAGAGAGCTCCGGCCTCTGAAACATCTTCTCTGAGTAATATGCCAACTAGTTTCCCGTACAAGACAAACTCCCCTCGATTTGACATGGTTTCGTTGTTTCACCGCAGTCATGAGTCATGAATTGTAAATTATTAAGAGTTGTTGTAATGTCACCAGGGACCTTTCTCTGACTTCAAACTCAAATTCCTAAAGCTCAGATGGACTTTCTAAATATTTGATGCTGCTTTTGTTTAGTGTGATGAAAACCAAGGAAACAGAGGGGGGAGAAAAGGATGAGAGGACTAACTATTGAACATGACAGATCATGTGTTTGGACCAAACATATTGCACACGTGGCTAAAGTGGCACGCAGCACTAATTCGCAAGGTTTGAGGTATGTAAACTGATGCAAGCCTTGACTTCAGGAGAGTCATCATAAAGTAAACAGCCAACAGTGGAGCCACAAAATCTATGAAGACTTGGATTAAAATACTGGCCATGTTTACCTATAAAGATAAAGCAATGGGCTTTAAGTGGTTGAACATAATCAGTGTCATAAATAAACAGGGAAAGACAAAAAAAAAACCGTTTTGTTGTCGCCCCCACAACATTCCTGCAGTGCATACCACACACACACACACACACGGACACACACGTGTGCCAGTGCGCGTGTGTGTTTCCCGGCAGTCCACTTTTTCTGTTACCCTGCCTGGTTTGTTTTCAGTCCTCCTTAATTCAGTTATCAAACGTATCATTTAAAAAAAAAAAAAAAAAAAACCACCAGGAATTAAATTAGCAAAAGGAATTAACACAAAAAATTAAGAAAAAGTGGTCATTCTATTGCGCAGATCAACTGCGCAGTAGCCTCCAGGGCGCATGACTCGGATTATGAGAAAGTAAATGAAAGAAATGATGTTCTGAGGACGAAGTGAAGACTGAGAAGTTGAGAAGATGAAAACTGACCTTAAATTAGTGGATGAAGAGTCTCCAAGTTGACTGTTTCAGTGTACGATCAGCGCTCCTTATGCGTCCAGCTGTCACTCCTGGAATGCCACCGATGGTGCCATGCGTAAAAGTAGACCAAAGGTATCCAAAAATAATCCAGTGACGGTGCGCGTACAGAGTTATTGGAAAACACTTCTAATGCAGGAGAGGTGTGAAGCAAATCACTGACAGCAGCAGGGAGAGCTGAGGCTGAGTGGTGGGAGAAGCAACGACTCTACAGTATTTCACTTCACAGGCTAAACACCGCCTCTCCTCCCACATCTACTGGGTTAATCATGATCATATGCACGGACTGCCGTTTCTCTGTGTTTATGAAAGAGAGAGAGAGTTTCAGGACATGAGCAGACTTGCCTCTATGACTTTTTTCCCCCTTTTTTTGGGTGAAATTCATAATGGAAATGAGTGCAAAACATGCTTCATTGATTCATTTTTTCCATTTTTTATTTTGCAGCTGAACTTTCAAAAGGTGCAGGTTGGCACAAGTAGGCCAACAGCAAAGGTGATCTCTGTCACATCAGCAGACCACATCCGATGAGTCGAAAAACACCAGCGTTGAAAGCTGGTGAATGTGGGTTTCAGTGCTGTAAATGTTGTGAATGAAACCATACACTTCAAAATGAGACTGACTTTGTTTCAGTTCTGAGATGGGCATATGTCCCCATGTTCTGTGCACTGTAAAATAAAAAATATGGTGGTTCACATTTGAAGTGAAATGATACTGTCAGGAGTTACAATAATGCATGTATGTGAGAGTTGGGTGGGCGCACTTTAGTTTGTGACATGCTTGCCAGAGGTGATAAGTAGTAACTATGTAAAGGCTGACTGGGAGTTGCCTCCCAGATGTAGAGATATGCCTTCAGAGGTGTAGAGGCACCCAGACACCCAGACGTAAACAATCATCTAAGGCTGCTCTAACAGGCTGCTGAGGGCCCTCTGACCACTGAAGTATTCACAATCTCAATTTAAGTTTATATGATTTCAGAATACATTAATGGTACTATATCAGTAAGGTGTAAAAGCATCTAAAATGAAAGTCTTCATTATGCAGAATACTCCCCTTTCAGAAAGACAGCATTTTACTGCAACAACAACATTTTAATGTTGCAGCTTCTTGATTTGGGAACATTTTCAACAACTTTAAATACTGCAAAATACTACATGTAATATACCAAACATTATATTACATTAGATCATTTGTAGGTGAAATCATAGTCTGGAAAGTATCCAGGTACTAGCTCCATTCATTCCTTTTACTTATGATGTTGTGTCTTTTGTTTTAAAAAAAAAAAAAAAGTTTAAAATGCTTTTGAAAATGCAGATAACTAGTTTATTCACGCATTCACCTGCAGGAAGTTGAACAAGCTTTGAGATCGTAAGAGAAGAGCCACACTGCAAGATGGTGGCACAAACTTAATGCCACAGCGTAACCACAAGCCTTCTTCCTGCAAGATAGCAGTGCTAACCACAGAAGCACCTTGAAAATCATGAGCTTTGCTTTTATTGCCTTGTCTTCTGTAAGATCTTCTTCAGTGGACACCTGGCAGTCACTGTAGGAAAATGACGACTCCATGAAACAAAAAGACAGAATGAGAGGAAATTGTTGACCTTTTTACCCAGAACAGACGGACATTACTCAGTTTGGACTGCAGTAAGTCTAAATGGTGCAATGCCAGAACACGTTTTTAAATCATCCATTTTCTTTACCTGAGGAGAGCCATTCGACTGCATTATACACTGCCTTTTAAAGTCATTCTTTCATATTTGTAGTTTTGATTTTGTGAGAGTCAACTTGACCTTTCTGACTCTGAGTTGACCAAAGGCTTGGAGGTCATCCTGACCTGTTCCACTGACCGCCTTCGTGTCAGATGCCAGGCTTCTTCTCTTTGGTGAGGCCGCCGTTGATGGAGGCATAGCTGAGGTGAAGAATAGAAATAAAGCCGGATATGTTCCAGTTTTTTCACAAATTTCTCAGAAGAAGTTACTCACTTCCTCTTTACTTCTTCGAACTGACAACAACATACTCATTAATATTAATCTCTAAATTGGTTTGTTGTAATCACGTTCCCTTTAAGTTGCCAGTTAAGGAAGCGTAATCGCTTGTGTTTTTACAGTAATGTACTACTGCACCAAGTGTTACAAGAAGAGGAAGAGGAGTCGATGGTGTCAGTGATAAATTGGCCTCCAGTCAGGTCATTGGCAATGTGTGTGTTCACAGAGGGCTCCTACATCCCGCTCATCTTTGACATCTTGCTGCCCAGATGTCTGGTCCTTGCTGAACCTGGACATACTGCTACTGTTTTAGTTAACCACATTCAAAGGTGCTTCTGAAAAGGGCCTGACACTTTCTCCCCTCAGAGTAGATTCAGGGCAGTTCATATCGTGCTGGATGGAGAATCTCAGGTCCTGTTAACACGTGGCAAAAACGGTGATATTTTATTGCATGTGGGCCTTTGATCATATATGAAAACTCCGGCCAAAGTTGAGATTTGGAAAAACTCTGTCTATGCGTTTACATGTAGGCAGGAGGAGACAGAGTTTGTCACAGTATGCGATAAAAGCGTCATCAGTGTCATATATGTGCGACCCATGTTTACAGTTTGGCTACTGTGATAGAAATGGATGCTATTAAAGCAGTGCTTGTTTTTATGTTTCTGCAACGCTTTTGGCCCGTTTGCATTTACATTCAAACGACCCTCGCACCTGAAATAACAGGAAGTAAATCGTGCTATTTGTTGTTGTGTTTTTTTCCCAGGATTCTGATTGGCTAGCATGGCTTTATGCTTCTCGTTACACTGCCCCCTATAGGTTCGCCATGCTCATAGCAGCTCTTAATGACGTGTTGATGCGGGTTTGTGTAAACAACGATTTTTTTGAAAACGATCTTGTGTGAACAATGTTATTTTTGAAAACGTAGATCCACTTTTGTAAATACCCGGCTATATGTAAAGGTGGCCTCAGTCTCTCCAGAACAGTGTCAGTGTGGGTCTCTCTGCATGTTAAATCCAAGCAGCTCTCCCAGCTATCTGCATGTCCTCAACCTCTGCACTTGACAGACTTTTTTGGGGGGGGAATCCTATTACCTCCTGCACTGACTATAGGCACCAATGTCCTATCACACTTGAACTTGTTCTATGACACTTATCCAGACAGTTTTCTCCTGACTAGATCTGTACCCGTGTTGTATCTACTCTCAGATGTACGTCGCTGTGGATGAAAGCATCTTGTATTGAATTGTAAACCGATTCCTGAAGCTGTCGTATCCACCGTGGCTCTCTGGTGATTGTGGGAAAACATGTTTTTATTTAGAATTAAGCCAGTAATTTATTTTCAGTTCTTTGCAACATGAGATAATTGTTGCCACATGCCTGAACTTTTTTAGCGAAATCAGTTTCTGTCTATGGATCTATAAAAGTTTGTATTATTATTAATAACTCAAGATCATAAATGGCATTACATTCTAAAAATGACATGCTATGCTACAACTAGCAATGTACTGCTCAGGAATATAAAGAAGGCCCCTTTGTCAGTGCAGTCAGAGCAGCACCAGGACATCTGCCTGCTACAGTATCTGCAAAGCTCATGGCCACATAATGGACAAACTGTGTCCCTTTTTTGCAAACTAAAATCACATCATCATTGTTATTATGTTCATAGAGCCATTCATCTCATGCTACTTATCCATGCCCATGTTGCAGTAATACAATTAATTATATCATTAGAAGTGAACTGCTGAAAATATGTCAGTAATAAATAAAACTAGCACATAATATGTGGTTTTTGAATCATACTTCCATATCTGGGCCAGTGAACAGGTGTTTTGTTGCATTCTGTGGTATTAAACAGGTCAGTGACCCCTGCAGAAAGAAATGTATAAATTAGGAAACACAGATGTTGTTTTCTGTGTGTTCTGGGAAACTGAAAGGCTTCAACTGAGAAACTTGGCAACAGCTAAAAGTTAAAGCAGTTATGTTTCTAAAGTAAAGCATCAAAAGACAATATTACAGCGTGAAACTGGTCACTGAGGAGGCAAAACTAATATTGACGTGAAACTGCAGCTCCCCTCAAGTTTGGAAGTTTCATCTCATTGTTATCTACCAGCTAAAACTTTGCTGTTTTTTGGCAGCAAGGAAGCTTACAAAAGAACCTCACTGACCGCTAACTGCTCAGAACCAAACTGACAAGCTGATGAATATGGTATGGATATTTCCTCCTGGAGTTGACCGGGACCAAAAATCTAGGATAAAAAGAAGAGCTAAATTGGTCTTAACATCATCAGATGGACAGTAACATGACTTGAAATCAGGCTGCTCCATAAATGTGTAGATTAGCAACTGTTTGCCCACAAGTTTGCCATATCCTCACTAAAATCGATTATAGCAAAATCCAGTTTTTCATTGCATTTGAACATAAGTGTGTGTGTCTAGAAACCCACTAAATGTGAGAAAAGATCAACTTTTGATTTCTTTACTCCCTCAGTGGATCAGAAAGTGTGTCTCTGAACGCAGCATTCAGGTTCGCAGCCTGTTGCCATGTCACAGCAGGATAAGAACCGCCCCCCGATTGGCTCCTCCTCCTCTTCCTCCCCGGGTTCATCTCTGCCGCTCACTGAACAGAGGAGATGCAGAGAGACATTTGCCTGCAGCCTTGTTCCTGAAAGAAATATGGGCAGCAGCAGGAGCAGCTCAGTTGCATTTAAACCTACAGACACTGAAACATTTGGAAAAACCAGGGACATTACAGGCATGGTAGAATGAACACTGTGTACAGCACTTTGAGCTGAAATGGGAAATACACACTTTGGGAATATGTGAGACTTTCATTAAGCTGTTAAAAGGGGTGTAATACGGGACTTTTAAACTATATGTCAGTGGGCATAACATTTTTCTGCTGCCTCCAATTGGCCAGAAGAGGTACTGCAGGTTAAAATATTTTTGTACAGCATATGGCTTTTTAATATGCAACAATATACGATTTAAATAGCATGATTGATCATAATCTTAGCACTAACAAAATTAATATTTTATAAAAATGACTACTTTTCTTTCATCCCAAACTTGCACAACACAGCAAATGTCAGCTTTTTTGACCTCTACTAATTCTATATCTTGTCCTCTGCTAGATGAAACCTTCATACTCGGATGATGATGATTGTACAAATGTTGCAGATTAGGATAAAGACAAGTACATAAAGCGCAGTGCCTCTGACAAGGCCTTTATACCAAAGTCCT